TGCACTGTTCAGGTGGCCTTAAGATTTTGAAAAGTGCCTAATACTGGGATTCTTGTGGTGTTGGTATTGCTAGTGTTCTTATTCAACATCCTTTTGTACGGAGGGGAGAATAGGGGTACAGGGATAGAGAGGGAGACTGGCCCAAGGACAGAAAAGGTTTAGGGTTCAGGGTAGACATGCCTGAAGCCCATCTCCTTGTAGGGTCCGACCTCTCCCCATTGAGGGTTTAGGGTTGAGGGTTGACAGAAGGTTTAGCGCCTGGGGCTCAGGGTTTAGGAGTCAGGGTATTCTCCACCCAAAGCCTAAAGGGTTGAAGGCCTAGGGGTTAGGGCTCAGGGTTTAGTATCCTACACCCTAAACCCTAAAAGCCCCATGCAGGAAGGTGATGAGGGCTTGGGCCTTGTTACAATGTTCCTCTCGTTCAGTTCGGGGTTTCGCGCGATGATCAACTTCGGAGCGGGGGCTTACGGTTTAGGGCTAAGGTCACAAAACGTGCACCCTAAACCCTAAACCCTAAACCCTAAACCCTAAACCCTAAACCCTAAACCCTAAACCCGGGCTTCATCACGTTTACCGAAGAAGCACGAGCCTTCACCTCGGTTTGCGCCTTAGGGTTTATGCATCCTGGCCCAACATGTCGCTCTCTTGCATCTGCCACCTCTCTCATCCACACAATCAGGGCTTAGGGTTTAGGGTTTAGGGTCGTTTCCTTGAACCTTGCTCTGCTCTTATACCCCGGAGTATTTGGGTTTAGGGTTTAGGGTTTAAGGTTTAGGGTTTAGGGTTTAAAATTTAGGATCCTTTGGGGGGTTCTAAAACTGGGGCACTCTGTTTTCGTAAAACGCCCAAGTAGGAGCCCTCGCAGGCCCTGCAGTCCGTTCTCGCTGGATGGCAGCCGGGCAACGAACTGCGGGATGCGCTCAAAGCAGTGGGAAAGAAACTGGAGGCCAGTCCGCAGTGCTTAGGGTTTAGGGTTTAGGGTTTAGGGTTTAGGGGTTAGGGCCAGTCCGCAGTGCTTGCCTAGGAAAGACCTCGGAACTCTAGCCCCCTTAGGGCTTTCGAAAACCGAGGGAAGTTACATGGTCTGAATGTGGGCCCTTGATTGGGGAACCCTCCTCTACCCCTGAAAGACCCTGTAAAAACCCTGGGGCACATACTTCAGAAGTCTTAAAAAAAGATAGCGGGCCCTATTAAGGGACCCTTGGACCAGGGTTACTGTTATCGATGTGCTTCCTGAAAGATCGCTGGAATAGGCCGTGAGAGACACATGCTGGCACAGAAAGTTCCCCGGAGCAGGCTGCGACATGAGATGGGTTTAGGGTTTAGGGTTTCGGGTTTGGGGTTTAGGGCACACTGCCAAGTGCAGGTCCCAACTGAGATGCTGATGCTCGCTAGTGGCTTGAGACTCGAAGTGCTAGAAGGCCTTGCAACTTGGGAAAAGGTTCCAGGCTCCTTCACAGCCACGAAAGCCGTTGTCCATCTCCAAAAAATAGCCAAGCCCTCGACCTCGAAGCATCACTCAAGATCTGAGGAGGCATGCTAAAGCACACACCAATGGCTCTATAGTCAGAAGGCAGGCCCAGCCTAATCGAAAGCGCTAAATCCTAAATGGTGTGAGATTCTGACAGTAATCGCGGCTGATCTTTGGGCAAAAGGCAGCCACTGAAACCGCCGACGAAGCGTTGCGAGACGTTCTTTACGATCTCGCTGTGCCTGGGCAGGGAGAAGGGTAACAAAAAGAATACAACGAACTAGTGTAACAATAGATCATAGCAATCGTCGTATTAATCATAACAACCATGGTAATCATAGTAGCCATAATGACCATATTAGACATAGCAGTCGTAGCAATCGTAGCCATCTTAGTAGTCCTCGCAATCATGGTAATCATGGTAATCATAGTTAGTAGTAGCAACAAGGATGATCTTACTAAGACGCATACAGGTAATAGCCTTGTCGTCGTCGTCGTCGTCGTAGGCTACTTCCACTGTGTTGGACATAAATAGAAATTGTAGGTGGTATCATTCTGAACCTTCGCCTCCTCCCCTGCCCTCACCCCTCCCACCCCCTCCCCCTCCCCCCCCTCCCCCCCCTCCCCCCCTTCCCCCCCCTCCCCCCCCCCCCCCCCCCCCCCTCCCCCCCTCCCGCTCAAAACTTTCGCTGAAAACGTTTCGTTCAAAACGTTTCGCCCAAAACTTTGGCTCAGAACTTTCGCTCAAAACTTTTTGGGACGCAAACCCTATACAATTTCTATAAACCCTAAACCCCCCCAAGGCTGCTGTCCATGCTGGATCTCGTCTTTTCATCTCGCGGCCGGCCGCAACGAGCTGCTTGGCTCCCGGGGTCCAAAAGTTCAGGGTCTTAGGGTTTAGGGTTTAGGGTTTAGGGTTTAGGGTTTAGGGTTTAGGGTTTAGGGTTTAGGGCTTGGGGTTTAGGGTTTTCAGTGTTAGGGTGTTGGGGTTTGTGGGTTTAGAGTTTCAGGCTTTGGGTTTAGGGTTGAGGGTTTTAGGGTGTTAGGATTTTCGGGTTTTAGAGGTCGAGGGTTTTAGGGGTTTAGGGTTTAGCATTTTGGGTCTAGGGTTTAGGGTTTAGGGCTTAGGGCTTGGGATTTGGGGAGCTCGAGGTATTTCACAAGCTTGGGCCGAGCTTGGCTTCGATGCATGAAAGGTTGGTTACGGTTTGGGCTTCAGGCTTTTGAGGCTTTGGGCTTGAAGGTTTTGGCTTTAGGCTTTAGGGTTTAGGGTGTAGGGTTTCGGGTTTAGGGTTTAGGGTTTTAGGCTTGAGGCTTGAAGCTTGAGGCTTTGGGCTTGAGGCTTGAGGCTTGAGGCTTGAGGCTTTGGGCTTGAGGCTTCAGGCTTGAGGCTTCAGGCTTTAGGGTTTAGGCTTTGGGCTTGAGGCTTGAGGCTTGAGGCTGGAGGCTGGAGGCTAGAGGCTTGAGGCTTTGGGCTTTAGGGTTTAGGGTGGAAGGTTTGAGGTGATCGAACTGGAACCCAACACCAAACCCTGACATGCAAAGTCGTCTTTCAACGTGTAGGCGAAACCCCACATCCTGAGCGCGAGCTCAAGTCTGGCACGAAGTGCAACCCAGCGCCCGCGAACATTCAACAGCAGCCAAAAGTAGCCCTAAACCGTAAACCCCAAAACCCTAAACCCTCAAACCTAAGTGCACTAAACGGGGTTTCCTTCCAGACATATTCCCGTGCTTCAACATCCCTTACTCCAACTTTTGTTGGGGGCCGACGTTGGCAACAAGACCTTGTGGTTTTCAGGGCTTACAGGGCTTACAGAGATGGGTTAACGGGTTTTGTTCCAGGGTTTGAAGGGCTTCAAGGGCTTCAAGAGGGTCAGCCTGATTCCTAAACCCTAAAACCCTAAAACCCTACAACCCTACAACCCTACAACCCTACAACCCTAAACCCTAAACCCTAAACCCTAAACCCTAAACCCTAAACCCTAAACCCTAAACCCTAAACCCTAAACCCTAAACCCCCCCACATTGGGGAGCGCAGAGCATGCCTATGTCTGAGCCAGATTCTTTCGACCAAAGGTCCCTAGAACCATGCATCCTTTTATGGGCCCTGGGGGGCAAAGCGGCAAAGAGGGGTTTAGGGTTTAGGGTTCTAGGGTTGAGGGGAAGGCTTGTGTGCTTCTTCTCGGGCCTCCGAGGGCCTGTCATCAACGACAACCAGCAGACCCTTCGTCAGCAGCTCGAGCGATCTCTTTCGCAGATCCCTTTGGAAGAGCAACAGGCACAGAGCTGAGTTCACTTTGTGGTGCATGACTGTAACTTTAGATCCTTAGCCTTTTTGGGCTTATTGGCTTTCTTAATAAGGCAGCTAAAAATTTAAGTTATAACTACCCTCCTAAGTGCAGCCAAGTTCGGAAACCCCTACAGTAAACTCAAGAAAGTTGGAACATGCTTCAAAGAGCTGGGATTCCCTTTGGTATACCTTTTGGGGTATGGGGAGAAGGATGTTCCAACTTTTTGGAGTTTACTGTAGACCCCCAAGCCCCGAAACTTGAAACCCGTATATGGGGTTTACGACGATCTTATGGGTACCTTATTGGGGTCCTTTTCAGGGAGGCCTACTATTTCGGGGGGTCTATATTAGGGGTCCCTTATTTTCGTAAACCTCCATATACTAGGATGCCCAGTACTACCCTTTTTCTCTTTTTTGGGGCCGTAGGTTCCCTTATAACCCCTTTAAGCAAAAAAGGGCACCCTTTGTAATCCTAGGATACTGGGCAACCTAGTATAAGCCCTAAACCCCAGACGTTCCGTGGAAGGCATACCTCCGTCAACTCGTCAAGCGCTATCACCCAGACAGGCTGGAGCAATGGACGCCCTAGACCTCACCCAACGCCCCTAAGCTCTCTTTGCCCCAACTCCCCAGCCTTTCGTTTAGTTAGGGTTTAGGGTTTAGGGTTTAGGGTTTAGGGTTTAGGGTTTAGGGTTTAGGGTTTAGGGTTTAGGGTTTAGGGTTTAGGGTTTAGGGTTTAGGGTTTAGGGTTTAGGGTTTAGGGTTTAGGGTTTAGGGTTTAGGGGTATGAAACTCAAGCCCGCCAAGCGCATTCGAGAGTTTCAGGTTTTGGCGCCCCCCCCCCCCACAACCCCCAAGTACAGCACTTCTGCGGGATGTTCTCCCTGAGAGTCCCACTCCTAGCTTTTGTCCCTAAACCCTAAACCCTGGAACAACGTCCACCTCCTTTCGAACGGGACCTAAGAATGGCTGACGCATTCTGAACCGACGCATTCGGAACCTAAGCAACGACATCCCTAAATCCTAAACCCTAAACCCTAAACCCTAAACCCTAAACCCTAAACCCTAAGCCCGAAACCCTAAACCCTAAACCCTAAACCCACATGCCCTGTGAAGGTTCAGTGCCCAATCACAGAAAATCCTGAGTTCAAGCTGCGAAACTGTTCTGGCTAAATCGTACCGATCTACACCTTGAAGAACTAAACCCGAGAAGGCTGCAAGGATGCTCCTGTCTCAGCCATGCCTGAACTTAGTGAGGCGACCCAGACCTTGTGGCTCCAGTTCGCTTTCCGGCCCTCTCCAACGCACCTTGTCGCCTCGCAGCTGCACACCCTCGCAATGGCAGACTCCGCCTCGGACGTGGAACAAGGCTCCGAGCTCCTTGTTGGGGAAACCAGGCGCCCCTCTGGGCGCGTCGTGGCCGGCCTGGGCTTTCTGGGCTTCGCCTTGCTGGCTCTGGGCTTCCTCGCCGGCCGCATGACGAAGCCAGAGCAGCCAGCGAGCCTCGGCGGCGTGATCCAGCGCTTCGCAGGGATCGACAAGGTCGTGGACAGCATCTTCGCAGAGTTCGACAAAAACGGTGACAAGACCCTGGACATGGATGAAACGAAGGGCCTCCTCAAGGAGGTTGTCGCGCAGCAAGGAGGTGAAGAAAGAAGCGAGAAGGAGATTCATGAAGCCGCCAAGGAGCTTGACAAGGATACCTCGGGAGGGGTTCACAAGGCCGAGTTGAAGCAGCTCATCCAGCACATGTTTAAGGGGTTTCACTCATGAGCTGCTCAGGAACACCTGCCGCGGTGCTCCGAACACCTGAGGAAACATAGATAAAGGGTTTCGACTCCATGCTTTGTTTCTGTGCATACCAGGTGTGTTGAGTCTGGTTCGTTGGCGCTGGGCGGATGTGTGTTTCGTGGAGAGTGTGGTTTTCTGACATCCAGGGTCTGTACCCCGAAAGTGTAACTGTTCTTTTCTTGAGTCCATGGTTTCATGGTGTCATGAGATGCCTGAAGCCAATCGGTTTGCTGTGGCGCCCCGGTCCATGTTAGTGCCCGTCCGGATGGTTCGGCACGATAAGAGTGGGGTTAAGGGTTTAGGGTTTAGGGTTTCGTGGGTGTATGACATGGTGAAGGACGTGTGACATGAAGGGCCGTTTGGAGCGACACGCCTGCTGGATGCCTTGGGTTTTAAAACCCAGGCTCCTGACCGCCCCCGATGACAAAACTCGGTTTCATGTCCACCAGGTGACCAGGATGGGTTATTAGGCGCTATAATCCCCGTAATCTCCCCTCTAAAGGGCCTTTTCTAAGCGGTTAGACCCCAAACCCTAAAGCCCTCAGCCCTCAGCCCTAAGCCCTAAGCCCTAAGCCCTGAGCCCTAAGCCCCAAGCCCCAAGCCCCAAGCCCTAAGCCCTAAGCCCTAAGCCCTAAGCCCCAAGCCCTACGCCCTAAGGCCTAAGCCCTAAGCCCTAAGCCCTTAGCCCTAAGCCCTAAGCCCTGAGCCCTCAGCCCTAAGCCCTAAGCCCTGAGCCCTTAGCCCTTAGCCCTTAGCCCTTAGCCCTTAAGCCCTAAGCGCTAAGCCCTAAGCCCTAAACCCTAAACGCTCCACTTGCAAAGCGCCGTCAAGAGCCCGCAAGGAACCCTGGGAGGGAAATGGAAGTCCTCCCAGCTTTCTTGCATGTCGGGCGCCCCAGAGCTGCCTCTCAATAAGTTTGGATTTAGGGTTTAGGGTTTAGGGTTTGGGGTTTGGGGTTTGGGGTTTGGGGTTTGGGGTTTGGGGTTTGGGGTTTGGGGTTTGGGGTTTGGGGTTTGGGGTTTGGGGTTTGGAGTTTAGGGTTTAGGGTTTAGGGTCCACGCGTTCTCAAGGTTCTCGTGAGCGTTTGTTCTCGGAATGTCGAGATTGTAAGGACTTGGCTGTTTCGCGTTTCAGAGCAGTTCATGCGAAGCCCCAAACACGCGGACCATTGCTGATATCGTACACATCGAGACTTGGGCGTTTTAAAGTCTGGAGTCGCCCTAAACGCTAAACCCTAAACCTTAAACACCCCAAACGTCAAGGCTCTGTAATGACCTTGTTGTGGTGCATGCTGCCAGGTACAGTACCTTCGCAACGCGTACAGCAAATGGAATTAAGAACGATGCTTTCAGCTTCAGGGAAAGAAAGGTTGAAACATCAGACGAGGATTTTACAAATACAATAATGATGAGAACAAATTTGGATATGCAATGTTTGATGACAATCCATTTTGCCCCACCATCAACCATTGTTTGATTCCTTCCATGAGCGGCTTTAGGACCACGTCTAAATACATTCAGAAAGGCTATAGAGGATTTTATGCCAATTACTTGAAGTTACTGATGATATTTCTTCTAGAGGGGCAGATAAAAAATAATTATCGTATTATTTCCCGAGATTCATCATATTAATGTATTGCGATATTTGTTATTATATTTGGAAGATGATTTAATTGGGAAGAAGATTATAATGATTTATTTCGTAACTAATGCAAATATTCGTGGGCCTCTACATGTATATTGGTTTATGGTTGATTTGGGAGGGGGAGGGGTTGAATAGATCTAAATGAATTGGGAGGATTTGAATAAATGAGGTCATGATGGATCCCATTCTTAGAGTGAATAACTTTAAAGGGATTTATTCTACAGGCAATAAAATATCAATATTACCTAAGAGGAAGAGGAGAGGAAGAGGAGAGGAAGAGGAGAGGAAGAGGAGAGGAAGAGGAGAGGAAGAGGAGAGGACGAGGAGAGGAAGAGGAGACGAAGAGGAGAGGAAGAGGAGAGGAAGAGGAAGAGGGCCGAGGCCGAGGAGAGGCAAGAGAAGAGGAAAGAGGGAGAGGGAGAGGGAGAGGGAGAGGGAGAGGGATGAGGGAGAGGGAGAGGAGAGGGAGACGGGACGGGGAGCGGGAGAGGGGAGGGAGAGGGAGAGGGAGAGGAGAGGGAGAGGGAGAGGGAAGAGGTAGCGGGAGAGGCGGGGAGAGGGAGAGGTGAGAGGAGAGGGAGAGGGAGAGGGAGAGGAGGGGAGGGGAGAGGAGAGGGAGAGGGAGAGGAGAATAGTGGAGAGGGAGAAGGGAGAGGGCGAGGGAGAGGGAGAGGGAGAGGGAGAGGGCGAGGGAGAGGAGCGGGAGAGGAGAGGGAGGAGGGAGAGGGAGAGGGAGGAGGGGCGAGGGATAGGGAGAGGGAGAGGGAGAGGGAGAGGGAGAGGAGAGGGAGGCTGAGGGAGAGGGAAGGGAGGAGGGAGAGGAGAGGGAGATGGGAGAGGGGCGAGGGAGAGGGAGAGGGAGAGGAGAGGGAGAGGGAGAGGGAGAGGGAGCGGGAGAGGGAGAGGGAGAGAGAGGGGAGAGGGAGGAGGGAGAGGGAGGGAGAGGGAGGAGGCGAGGGAGAGGGAGAGGGAGAGGAAGAGGGAGAGGAGCGGGAGAGGGAGAGGGAGAGGGAGAGGGAGAGGAGAGGGAGAGGAGAAGAGAGGAAGAGGAGAGCGAGAGGAGGAGAAGAGGAAGAGGAGAGGGAGAGGAAGAGGAAGAGGAGAGGGAGAGGAGAGGAAGAGGAGAGGAAGAGGAGAGGGAGAGGAGAGGGAAGAGGAATGAAGAGGAATGAAGAGGAAATGAAGAGGAATCGATGGGGGGGGCCCGCCCGGGGGCCGAAAATTAGTTTGGGGGGCCCATTTTTTTATGATATTATTATGGGGATGGAGTTAGTTGGGGGGGGGGGGCCCATTAATTAGGAGACCCTATTATTAAAGGAATATGCGAACGATCCCAAGATGAAAGGAATGAATGATGGAATAGCCACATTAAAGAGGATACAAAGGTCGTAATTTCTGGATCAATTATTATTAATTTCACGTATTATTTTAAAGACGCATGAAATTTATATGCAAAGATTTTTTGATTTTCGTTTGAAATGCAAATATAATTATAAGAACAAAAAACGAAGTGAATATAAAAAATTCATTATACTATTACTACTATTATTATTAATATTTTTGTAATCTGCTAAAAAAGGTCTGGAATCTTGAATCTTGGGATTTTTCATTTTTATGAGAAAAGACTAAGAATCAATTTATATAATCTCAAGATAGATATATTGATTTTCTTAGAATATTCATTGATTGGAATATCTATATATTGGTGGGGAGGGCGAATTGGAATATCATAATTTTCAGAATACCGATAAAATTATATACTGGGTGCGTCCCCATACCAGAAGAAAAAGAGATGGCTTATTTCATGAAATACAAAATTGACGAAGACTATATTGAGAAATTTAATAATGTTGATAGAAACCAGAGTATTGCTTAGAGAGAACAACTTGATATGGGTGGTTGGTCATGAATCAAATAAATTAATTTCTTCTTAGAATCAATAATTTGAAAAATATTCATTCATACCTTATTATTTAATTCTAATCATGTCGATGATATCATCGATTCAAAAACTCATCAAAAATAATTGATTCCACTAAAAATATATTGATTTTCTTTCTCATATATTTTAGGAAATTTTTGAATATTATATATTCCTTATTATTTATGATTGGTTATGCCGACCATATCTCCGATGAATATAATATAATCATTTTCTACCTCCATGAAAAGACAAGAAAGATCATGATATGCGCGACGCTTAAGAGATTTTTGGAAAATAGAAAATTGAATATTCATATAATGTTAATAGATTATTCTCCTTTCATTATCAATATTGATAATGAATTCATATTTCTAAATATATAATATCCTCATTCGGAATGATACGAATATATTTTTAATATTTCATTTTTCAGAAAATCGATATAGAAATAAGAAATTTCTGATCTAAAAAATATCAATTCAGAATTAGAAATATGAAATCCAAATATAGAATCAAAATTTAGCGAGAATTTAACATAAATTTCATTCTTGCCAAGATATCTCATTAGATTAAAAATTCTCCATCATATCTAATTATAAAGAATATCCAGAGAAAGAAAATAAAAATTTAGAGATTTCTATTCCAAATTAAAATAAGAATATTAAAGAAACAATGAGAGAAAATTAGATTTGGGAGAAATCGAGTCCAACCATCAATCTAATATTCCCTAAAATATCGAAATAATATCTTCGATCTAAAATAGGAATTCTTTTTGCCGAAAGTAATCCTAGAATTTTTCAAAAAATCGTCGTATCGGGAATAAAATTGCCAATCCCTAATCACTCATAATCCATTCCAAAAAGAATGATATAGAATCATAAGAATGAGGTTTGATATAAATCCATATTTAGACCTCTTCATCATTCATGAATTTTATATATCTATAATGAGCTATATATCATGACAAGTGCTTTCTCGAATTCGGCAAATTCCATTCATCAAAAAAAAGAGGCTAGCTTTTTAAGCCCAATAAGCATATAGAATCAAAAAATAACCCTGCTCAGCAACCTTCAACCCACAAGTCAAAACATCAACACCATCTGAGGAAACCAATCTATGACACAAAGCAGGTTGGTAGCTACCGACGTCCTAATCTCCTTCGATTCGTCTATCTTCAATTTCCTCAACCCTGGGCCTTAAGTTCCGGAACTTGTTTTTGATTGCTTGCGCCAATTCAATAGGTGATGCCAAGCAGAGCAGTTCATGCGAAGCCCCAAACACGCGGACCATTGCTGATATCGTTCACATCGAGACTTGGGCATTTTAAAATCTAGAGTCGCCCTAAACCCTAAACCCTAAACCCTAAACCCTAAACCTTAAACACCCCAAATGTCAAGGCTCTGTAATGACCTTG